GATTAATATAATGGTGAATTATATATAATAAAACAAATGATAGCCAATTTATTATAATTTTTATGTTGAATTTTAAAAAATAACTGAAATTTTGCCCTAGTGAATCATCTAAATGTTTGCTGAAAGGTCTTAGTATAAAAATAATGCTAAATTATGTGTGTGTCATAATTTTTTACCGAATTTTAAACTCGAACTAAATATTTGCCAAATAGTATAACTGAATTAGCTGAATGTTTGCCAAATGGTATTAATGCTGAAATAATACTAAATTATGTACAATGTAACAAATGACTATCAATTTTTGTAACTTAAGTCGAATTTTGCTGAATCACATGACTGAATTAGCTGAATGTTAACTGAATGATATTAGTGCAGAAATAATACTAAATTATATACAATGTAACAAATGACTATCGATTTTTGTAACTTAAGCTGAATTTTTTCTGAATCACATGACTGAATCGGCTGAATGTTTGACGAAAGATCTAATGCTGAAATAATGCTAAATTATGTGTAATGTAATAAATGATTATCGATTTTTGTAATTTAAACTGAATTTTACCAAATCATATGACTGAATCGGCTGAATGTTAACCAAATGGTATTAATGCTAAATGAAATGATTTCAACTAGTACTTGCTTATATTTGTCTTTTATTGAAAATAGTCTTTTCACATTTTCTAAGATACATGATTTGGGATCTTCTGTCTGATATAATTCTAGAATACACTTTTTATAATTCTGCATAAACTTACCATCTATTGGTTTTTCACAAAGAATCCCTACCTTAAGCATTTTGATTAAAGCATTTTCAACCAACTTTTTGTGAAGTGAGTTTAACTTCTTGGATTTGCTTATTTTCAATTAATTGAATTTGTGTTGTAACCCAAATGATCTTCAAGAATAAGAAATGTGGCACAGTAAAGTGATTTACAAATGATCACCATATGAATTAATTTACAAAAATCAATGACACAATGATCTGCAAAAGTAATCTGTGAAATTAATCAGATTAGTTAATGAAGAAATGAAATAATAGATTATTAGTCTATGATGGCATGCGTAACCTTCTAAACTAGAAATTCTAAATAGAAACTTCAAGGAGTAACTAATCAAAGGCTAAATATAAAGATGTAGTAATAATTTAAGAAAAATATAATTATATTCTCTACATCTCTTCAAATATATATATATTATAGTTATAAGACTATTGTATAGCGATTAGGTAGTCATTACTCAATTATTACAATAACATTATATAGAAAGATAAGAATTATTACTTAGTTTTTATGCAATAGATAGCAATTTAATGTAGAAATTTCATTATAAATAAGCTGAGTTTTTCATCATATATTGATAAAAATTTAGGAAGTTAATTTTATAAGATAATAAAAACTCTTTACTAAATTATCTCGTAACAAACAAATTACTTTATGTCAAATCTGCTTTGTGTCAACCTTGGTTAAGCAATATTAGATTATTTAATATTATAAATCTGCTTTGTGTTAACCTTGGTTAAGTAATATTGGATTACTTAACGTTATCAACCTACTTTGTGAAATCCTTGGTTAAGTAATTGTAAATTACTTAATGTTATCAACCCTACTTAATATCATCTAGGTTTAAGTAATCTTTAAATTACTTAAATGTTATCAACTTGATTACAAATAAAACTTTGTAACATCAACTGAGAATTTCCTACACTAAATGAAATTACTTGTCTTACATGATGAATTGGAAGTCAGTCATTCTAAAACTTAATTGATAAAGAATACTGAAGTCAACAATAGTCCGAATTAACTAAAGTCTCTCCTAAAACTTTATAAAGATTGAGCTAAATCTTGCTATTACTCAATTGATTACATGTTTTAGTCCGTCTAATCATTAGTTAGCTAACAGTATATTCATTGTGAAGGTGCTTGATTTATTATATGATACTTATATAAACTTTTTATTTAATTAATATTTTGGTATATGAAAAATAATTACATTATATATGGTGAATATACTTATCCCTTTATACATTTCTCTAGTAAAATTTGTGATCAATCTTGTATACGCGAATAAAAATATTTTATTCATTAGAAATATGTTATAAAGTTGGCTAATAAGCAACTTACTCTTTGTAGTGAATGTGATAGACTTAATAGATTAGCTTTTGGTTGATATTCTGATCATATAAAAGGATTTTATGTCTTCCAATACTATAACAGACTGCTCTAATAAATGGTAAATAATCTATTAAAATTTTAGTATCCTGTTCAGAATTTTGCTATCAACTACCATTTTTTTTAACCTAGCGTTTATGTGAAAGAAATGGTTTTAGAATTGATTTTTATATATTACGAAATTACTAGTATACTGAAATATAGTCTATAATTTTTAAACTTTATTGTATACATACATAATTTTGGTACTCACCTCAGATAAGTACTAAAATTATGATCTTATTAAATAAATATGAATCAGCTTTAGAATTAATTCTAGGATATTATGAAATATGATATGTATTTTAGGCTTGCATGATCAGGCCCAGCTCAAATTATATCACTTCATTTCTTAATTTTCAATGGTCTCTTTAAAGGTAAGCAGAATAGTAAAATTTTTTTGATATATTATTTGGGATTATAATTGTGCTAAAATAACTATATCAAACAGTATAATTCTTGGTATTAGACAGGCTAATTCCTAGCCAAATTTGATATCAACATCTAGATTTGAGTCAAAATAAGCTAGAGGCTTGAATTCAATAATTGATTCATATAGCTAGAATTAATTCGCAGGTAGGTTAGAGAACCTTTTGAATACTATTTTGGTTTTTGTTCAGAAACTCCATTTTTGTTGTAGTAATACTTCAATTACTCAAGGATGAATATGATAAGAAAAGGGTCTATAATTGGTGGAATTATCATGTTAATAAATAATAAAAATAAAAATTTACTTATTATTATATACAATAATAATAAATAAGTTTATTTTGATTTAATTTATATTTTACTTTGTTATCTTATATATAAAAAATGAAAAATTGTAGTTTTTACAAAATTGGCAGTTAAAACATCAAATTTTTTTTAAAGAAAATGAAAAATAGCTATAAAATACATATAGTCATATCTCAATATAACGAAGTTGACGTCTGGGCTGATCAGCCCTTTATTATAAGAAAATTCGTTATTACTATAATGAATTATTTGGTTTAATAAATGATTACTAAAAAAGGAAAATACAAACATAATTTTACTATAATATAATTAAAGTTAATTTTATGATGTTATTTTATAGAATAACCTTTTTGTGGTTAAAATTAAAGTGATCTTGAAGCAATTTTAATAGTGCAAAATTGGAATTAATCTTAAATAAGACAATTTATAATAACAAATATAAATTTATTTTTAAAAGTTTTGAGATCTCTTTACTAAATAAAAGAAAAAAGTAAGAAAATTTATTAATGATAGTTCAAATACAATTAATTAATATTATTTATTTATACAAAAAAAAAATAAAAAATAAAAATCTCCCAATAAAAAAAGGAAATTAAAAAAAAATAAAACCCTATGATAAAAATAAAAATAAAAATTAAAACCATGATAAAAAATAAAAAATTAAACCTACTTTCTACCTCCCAACTACTGGTTCACCATCAGCACATTACAGACGTTCCTTCGATGATACCTTGTAATTAAAAAATGTAAAAAATACTTAATATAAATCTAAAAATTCCTAAGAATTATTAATTAAACATAATAATTATCTGGCCTATCCCAAAACCTAGTTCAGAATAGATTATAAAATTGTTTCCCATTATATGATCACCTTTCCCCTCTTTTCACACCATTACGCTAATCACAAAAATCCTAAGGGATACATATTAATTACTTATTGAGTTATATTTATCAACATATTATTATTTATTTTTTACTTATCCCATAATCCCTCACCAGATTTCTCCACTTCTGCGCGCATTAGCGAGAAGAATAATCACTAATATATTGTCAATTTATTCTTCTCGCAATGCTCTACTAAAATCTCAATTTATTTTCACGAAAAAAATAATGATATTCATGATTACATTTCCTCCTTTCTTCAACCAAATAATCAGTCTCTGCATCCCCCAGATAATTTTTGGTGTAGCCATTTTTTTTATTATGTTTGTTAAAATTAAAAATTTTGTTGGTTTGATTTAATAAAATGATCGATAGAATTGAGAGTATTCAGTCATTGAAAAACATTTTTGAACATGCTATATTGGTATACAATTAACAATTTGGGCTTAATATTAAGTTTAATATCCATTATAGTAGCATTAAAAGTGAATACATAGGTTTGATGATTTGCTTGCTAAAAACATCAACAATGAACTTGCAAAAAGCATTTTTATAATATTTATTCTTGTTAAAAAAGCACCATTCACTTATAAATCTTTCCTTAACACATAAGCTTCCACCTGTGCAACCCGCTTGCCCTTTATTGTTTACCTCTCTTTTTTTCTCCCCTTGAAGCATACGGACGGAATCTAATAATACTACTTTCTTTCCAAATTTCCCCATGTTCCGGGCTTGCTGTTCTCCATTCAGGATCAAAAGGAGTGATGTAAGAGATCACCATCTGTTTCAGAATTCCCAACACACTTAAAACAATCCATTCCAAATGAAGACATGCATATTATTTTCTTGTTATTTCTTTTGGTCTGGCTGGCTTCAGATTTGGTATGTGAACGAGTGACAGGTCCTTTCATTCCTTGATCTTCGAACTTTTCTGCCATGTTTGGAGGGTCAACAAACCATTCACCAGTGTACCCGAGTTGCCAATAAATGCTTAAATACTCTCCACTGTAATGCTCAAGATCTTAACCTGTTAAAACTTGTTCAGGACGCATCTTGGCTGACGAGGGATACTTCTTATCTGCCCTTGCATAGGGACTGTGGTAATTTTTCACTTGGATATGAATAAAGGAGTACTGTCCACTTGCAAGCAAAATTGGGATCATCAGATCAGCTGCCTGCTGATTGAGTTTGAAGATAATCGCAATGCAGCGGTGATAATATCCTTCGAGTTCTTCTTTATTTGATATGTTAATCAACTGAGACAAAATGTGTGAAGGCCACACGACCATCTTTGATATAATTTGCGACGATTGAAGCATTACGAAAATCCAAGGCCGCATATGTGTGAAGGCCACACGACCGTCTTTGATATAATTTGCGACGATTGAAACATTACGAAAATCCAAGGCCGCATATGTGTGAAGGCCACACGACCATCTTTGATATAATTTGCGACGATTGAAACATTACGAAAATCCAAGGCCTCATATGTGTGAAGGCCACACGACCATCTTTGATATAATTTGCGACGATTGAAACATTACGAAAATCCAAGGCCGCATATGTGTGAAGGCCACACGAACGTCTTTGATATAATTTGCGACGATTGAAACATTACGAAAATCCAAGGCCGCATCAATCTCGTCCATAACACATATGGGGGTAGGTTTGTAATGGTGCAAAGCAAATATTAGAGCCAAAGAACAAAGTGTCTAATGGGGAAACTAAACCACTTTTTCTTAAGATGTCTGACTGCAAGAATCAGAATGGGTCGTGCCATAAGTTCCCCACTTGGACCAGGCTCCACAATACCTTTCTTCAATGAATCGTTGAAAGTCTTCAGAACTTTGACCAAGTTGTCCTTGTCCTCAATCAAGAAGAATCCCGCTTCTGCCAACAACGGCTCCGATGGGTAACCAACCAATAGATTTTCCCTGTCGCATAGCATGTTGCCGCATGTGATGCGACAAGGTCAGATGCCAGTGTTGGTTGTGACGAGATCTCCAGAGAGATACAATGGCGATGCTCGCGCGGGTGATATCAGCACGTGTCAGATCATCAACTCCCCCAAGGAGCTTGATTTTGAAATGTTCAATAAAGTTTCTGAGGCGTCTTGGATTTTTCTTGTTGCTCTCTAAGTAACTATAGCCTAGTGGTCTTCCTAATCTAGACATAATCTCCAACACGTCGTTTTCAGTCACTTGTTTCCAATTCTCTATGTTCCTCAGAACCTCAGTCCAGAAGGAAGGACCCCAAAGCCTCGTCTGTAGGTCCCAGGTGAGTGACTTTCGTTCTTTGTGCAAAATAAATTCATTAACTGAAAATGAATGTAAGCAAGTCGCCATTCTTCACCCTGCCGAAGTTGTACAAAAAAGGTTTTTTCCAAAAAGTTTGCAATGATCTCTGTTCGTAGAGGATATCCCGTACTTGCTGCAGGACGTAAGCAAAGGTAAAGTGTGGGAATGTCCTTGGCGACCTCTTTGATAAGACGAGATTTGCCGTAATCTGAAGCTTGGAACAATGTCCAGTATGGAACATATTTAGTTCGATGTTCCGTCCAATATCGGTGCTTAGCATGAAGCTCACGCTTGAAGTCTCCAATGACATTCTCAGCATCAATGTAACTTAAATTAAAAGCTAGTTCCACTTCATTCTGCTGAAATGGAGAAATATCAGCATCGACGTTGTTCTGTTTGCTTTCTGCTGAAGCCGCCACAATAGGTCAGAAAAAAATAAATGCAAAAGGAGACAGTTTGTCAAAGTTGCAAACAAGGTTGCTCAATGAATGGACTAAAACCGATATACAGTGTTATAATAACATTTACTATGTTCTATTCTATACTCCTCCCAATGCGTGTTATAATGCATTCCAACTATTCTCCTTCTGTTGACCCCATGGCTACTCTACGAACCCCCGTTGCTCCTCTATCCTCCCAATAAACGTGTGTGTTGTTTACTTTGTGTCTTGAGGTATTCCTCATAGCAATTTGTATTTTCTCCGGGGTGGTCGCTATGGTATTTATAAAAGAAGACTTTATATTTGTTGTATGCACCTTCGACCTCCTTGCCAGTTGCTTCTCGATAGTATTTGTTGTATTTAACACCAAAGTTCCATGAACCCAGTAAGTAATCCACATCCATTGCGTCCATGTCTAGATGTTTTAGTGAAAAAAGAAGAGTCGCAATCTCATAGGAAGACTTTCATATGATTGGCTATTGCAGATCAATTTAGGAAAATGGAGTTACATTAAGTAAAAAAAAAAAAAATCTTACCGTTGCTTCTTTGAAATGCTAACTAGCTGCCTGCAAAAATAATCCAAAAATAATCTCAGTTTCAAAAGAGTTTGCTTATAGGTGGCATTTCTATAATACGAAGCTTAAAGTTCTTTATATTGTTATAGAACTTGTTTTAAAAATTTTTAGTAAAGAATTACAAATTTATATTAAAAAATAAAGAAATCTGTATACTTTCTGAATATATGTTAAGATAAAATAATTTATTACATTTTAATATTTGCCTTTCGTTGCTTTTTGTTACTTTTATAAAATATATAATAAAATAAACATTTGTATCAGAATTTTTTATATTATTATATTATTTGTAATTTTATTAGTTCTTTATATGTTCTCTATATGTTAAAATTCTCTTTCTTATAAATTACCTTCTTGTTGCGGATTGTACAACTATAATTGCTATAATTGCTATACAATTTTATTATGCAATATGCTGAAAAAAGGCCTAGAGATGAAGTTTTAAAGGATTTAACAGATAAATATCGCACATCACAAAAATGTATTTATCAGATTTGGAGAGGTGAAGAAAAAAATAGGGTTATGTAGAATCAACCAATTCATATGCCAACAGCTTTGCTTTCTAATATAAATGTTATGGGTGAACGACTGAGCCAGAGATCTAAGACCAAGATGTTTCTCCATTTGCAAAATTGGAAAAATAAATACGTGATGGTAAGATAGAGCCTAGTAAATCTACTGAGTTAGCTTTAGAAAGGAGTATTATTTTAGGTGGTAAGTTGGAAAAGACTGGAAGAAAGAAATTGAAGTCTGCTGAACTATCTAGTATTCAGATTCAGCTAATCCAGGCTTTAGAGAAGGATACAAATAGTGTAAATTTGGATGCATCCTATGAGAAGATGGCTGAAAAAAATACAAAAATTATAGATGAAAAAAGAAGCGTTATTCTGAAAATAACTCACCCATTCCCTAAGAAGACTTTCGCAAAATTCACTGATTTCTGCATTGAACTTGATAGCATTAGAAAGCTTCTTCTTAAGCTCTTTCATACGAGTTGCCATACTTTCATAGCTCACTTTTTTTTAATGCACCATCCTCACTTAAGTCTTACAAGTCTTGCGAAATACAATCTGGGGTTGTGAAATCATTGCATTCAGGAGTAATGTTCACGCAATTTATCTCGAGCTTGTTCTTGACGTTATGCATGGTGACTGGGATGATTAAATCCTTTCTGTTATGAGGAATCCTCAACTCATCTTTATCTCAATCAATTGCACATTTATATTTCTTAAGAAGAGGATTCAAAAATATCAGCATTGGCTTAAATTATTTTACAACTATAAAATCTTCATATATATAAATCCTGAAGCTAAGGTTATAGATAAATTGTGGACGACTCCAATAGATTCAACCGGTAAAGTATTAACGCCACTAAGTTCATGCTTTATAGATCTATCGATGACAGCCTTTATACATAAGACAATATTCTCTGTTATGATAGCAATTTCAAAGCAAGAGTCTAGTGTCATAGCCGGGATTTTTAAACGTCCAATTTTGCATTTTATAGATGCAATGCTTGTAGTTGGTTCTTTCTTTCAGATAAAGTCTATCTCTATAGTGTCATCTAAAACATCTTCACCATCTGATAACTCTGGTTTCTCTTCATCCAATTTTTTAGTCTGCTGAATTATGTATAGGAGAAAATTCTCAAGTTTGCTTTGAATGATTTTGCGGATAGTTTCTTCTAAAGACACCTGCTTAGTATCTTGGCTATCTTTCTTTCAGTCTGATGAGGCATTATGAAGAGGAAATGAATTAATATCCTGTTTTACCTTACAAGGCTTGGATTTATTAATGTTCTTAATACTTGGTGATTTATTGGAAATATCCTTCTTGTCACTCAGCTTAGTATACTTCACTTTTTTTTCATGACTTATAAGAACATTAAAATCATGATTTTTAGAGTTTAATTCAGCTGAAAAACCATCAGAATTAAAACTATCATTTTCAGACTCTGACATGTTATTATTTGAAAAATCAGAATTGAAGTGTTCATCAACTGTAGCAATATGAACTTGATCACTCTTGGATTTGGAATCTTTGGCAAGTTTGGCTAAAAGGGCTTCGATTTGTCCTAATCTTTTTTTCAGTCCCTTATTATTAAAGGTTGAGGATTCTGAACATTGATGTTAAGATGATTTGGTATCTCTGGTATTTTTTCTAGTAAGTTTGGCTAAATGAGTTTCAATTTGTCCTAATCTTTCTTCCAACCCCTTATTACTATGGTCTAAGGATTCCAAATATCAATGCTAAGATGATTCAGTTCTAGTACCTCTTTCAGAAAGTTCAGCTAAATGGGTTTCGATAACACCCAATCTCTTTATTAGTTCATCAGTAATATATTTATCTAAGAACATAGAATCTTTTAGTGTACCACTTAGCATTCCCAAATGCTCAGCAAGTACGTACAACTTGTCTAAAGCCTTATTACTCTGGAGTTGGTTTAAGTTGGTTTAACTAATTGTGCCTGTAGAGAGGCTATTTGGAAATTTAACTTTCAATCTCGGCTGAAGAATCATTTTGAGAACTTTGGCCCCCATTTAAATTTGGAACACGCTTTAGTCACATGTCTTTAGATTTGTAAAAAAATGCATTAATACCATCAGGAGTGACAGCACGCATCCATGTATAAAGATCGCCTGATAAGTAATTCTTAAGAAATCCTATAGTTTGTGCATCATTATCTGCTATACCTAATAATAGAGGTCGGATTCTTTTTTCATAAGTATCAGGTGAGTCTGTGGGTAGAAATTTTTCTTGAGTTAATTTTTGAAGTGCCGACTGCCGACTACCTACTGTTTTTCGTTGATAATGTAATTTCATCCAAGCATGTAAAGTAGCTGGAGAAATAATAGGAGCATTTCTATTATATGGATCTTAGGCAGGAACTGGTAAATATTTTCCTTCCTTCTGAGCTTTAAAAATATCACATTTAATAGCATCATCAAAATCTCCAGCATTTGCATTTTCAAGAACAGTCATATGTCCTTATGCAAATAATATTAATTGAATAAGTCTATCTAAATAATCATCAGAAGGTTCTTGGCCTGTATAAGGCTTAGTTTTTGCAAGAATCAGTGCAATCATAGTTAATACTAGTAAATGTCTAGCATCTGCCATATTTTCTAATGGGTTATTCTGAAGCGCCAAAATTTGTTGTTGCAAATTTAAAATATTCTGATCTCTTTGCCTAATCACTAGCTAAAAAACAAACTTTTCACGTATCAATTTGCCAATGTGGGTTTGTTTTCTTCCTATAATAACTATCATCCTATTTACCTAGTTTTAAGCATTATTCTGCAATTGTCGGGCATTTTGCTGAAGGTGGTTGACATTTCGCTGATACAATAGCAGTTTAGCAAATTTTTCTCGTAATAATTCTTGAACACACCTATCTTTATTCCAATATGAGAAATGCTAATAACAGGATTCTTGTCTCTCATTATTATAGGCTAGCATAGCTAAGTCTCACTCTCCTTGAGCATTATCTCTTTCCCTTATAACTACATCCCTTTCTCTCTCAGTTCTTTCAACCTGAACTCAAGATTCATTTAATAAACGTTATAACCATAAATTCTGATTTTCGCTATCAATAAACTGATTCCTAAGATTATCTACTCGCTGAATTGAATCATGTAATAAGTTCTGATATTGATCACGCTCAGTTGTAATATTTTGCAAAGTAACCTGAATAGTATTTAATGAGCCTCTAATTCCATCTATAACATTAGTAGAATTCTGCATAGGCGTACTGGCACCTCTAATATGATTTTCTATCTGATTTAGTTCTCTAATAACATTTGCGATAAGATTAGTTGTTACCATATTTAAAGCATTTATTGAGATTTTTTTATCTATGAGAATCTGAATCCTTGCTTTAAGACTCTCAACCTTATTTTTAAGCTCTATGATTCAGCCATATTGAATAGAGCCAACCTCATCTTTGAATTTTTTATCCTATTGTAAAACCCTAAGCTGTTTTCGCAAATTAGATATTTCTGATTTAAATTTCCCTATTTCCTCTTCATGGGTTAGGATTGTAGAATTTTGATAGGATATTGTTCTATAACATTGCTCAAGCTCTTTTACCAGAGATTGAATTTATTTCTCGTTACTCATATTAATAGAAACTTTATCTCAAAGCTCAATACGAAGCTCCTGATTTATATCTAAAAGCTGTGAATATGCTGGATCATACATGGTATTTTATCCTAATTTATAGTACTATTATAATAATCTTGTCTCAAGAATGAGCCAACCTCAGATTGTAATAGACCTATATGACGAGATAGTTCTTGTCTGTAAGCTTTTATATTATAATATACCCAGTTTCTATACTAATGCGAAAACATTACATAAAGCGTATCAAGAGGAAGGATATTCTTTTCGATTACAGGATATTACAAAATGGTTGAAACATCAATATAACTATCAAATCTATTGACACCTATTTCTATGTAAAGCTGGGGCTAGTTTCTCAAAAATTATACTGATTCAAACTCGTAATAGTAGTGGATGGATATTTATTTGTATTCTTCTAGTTATCGATGTGGCAACACGTTTTAAGGAAGAGCGCTCACTAACATCAAGAAATAGCTTAGAAATTTGGATTGTGATTAAAGATATCTATGTGAATCCTTCTTACATGGCCAAAATTATTAATAACTGATGGTGATGCTTCATTTTAAGATGCATTTTCATGAGGAATACAACAATATAATATCCCAATACGTGTTGTTGACCTTTATAGTTTTGAGAGCTTGGCTTTTATTAAAGCACTTCACTTAAGAAAAGAATAGCTATATTAACATATAAGGTCCAATATATTATAAAGGGGCGATTAACTGATGGAAAGCAATCAAGGATATTTAAGAAAATCCTTAAGAAGTATATTGATTATCTGAATAACAGTAAGACTCGCCTTATTGGAATATCACCAGCTTGTGTTATGACTTTAGAAGAAGTTGAATCAAAGCCTTTTAAAAAACCTAAGCATGTAATCGGAAAGATGAAAAGATAAAATTACAAAAAGGCACAATGGTTAGATATTTGTTAAAAGTAGGTAAGTTGGAAGGAGACCATAAATGTAGAATAACGTATCCGTATTGAAGCTTGCATATCTTCAAGATTAAAAGAGTCGTTATTGGAAGAAATCTACCACAACCAGTCTTATATTATCTCGAGAATAAACCTATTGAATTTACTGCTCATCTGATAGGACAAAATCCTAAAAGACCCTTTAAATATGAGGAACTTCAAGTAATTGAAGAACCTGATAAGATTGAATACCCATCCGATAAATTTATACGAAAATATCATTATACTGGATTTGTTCACTTCATTCAAATTGCTGAAAACATACTAATAAAAGCACATGAATATGCCTCTCAGCGTAATCATTAATGTCTAGGTAAGACTGGAGAAATAAATGGACATAATGTATATCTTTGGTCTTGTGAAAATAATGCGTATCAATGGGAGTATCCATTAAAGTATATCATGAAAAAATTTGAATAGTGCTCTCTTTGCCATCACACTACCGAAAGAACTGTTCAATATATTTTTGAAGATCTGCTAAGCAAAAAATTCTCATCATGTAGGCTGAATCTTTTGCATAGAATGCAACTCGATGGATATAATGAAGAGTTGTGACTAGGATTCGAATTTTATGGCAGGCAACACTATAACCCTATAAATAATATGTATAAGGAAAGTATACGAAAATAATATGTTTAAAAAACGTACAATAAACGTAGATAATTAGTATAATAAATTCGTAAATATTTTCGTATACTAGATACTGAAAATCAACTTTTTTCATATACAGAAAATACGGAATTTTTACGTCTAATCAGTATATTGTATACGTAATTTTACATGGATTTTATGCATCTAATCAGTATATTGTATATGTTATTTTTGATTAGTATTTCCATATATTAAATACTGAAAATCGACTTTTTCCGTATGCAAAAAAATACAGAATTTATGTTTAATCAGTATATTGTATATGTTATTTTTTATTGGATTTTTTACGTCTAATCAGTATATTGTATATGTTATTTTTGGTTGGATTTTTTACGTCTAATCAGTATATTGT